GGGGGGGGGGGGGAGACGGCACATGGCCAAGAGTGAGGCCACAAAATCGGCCACACGTGCGTACCATCCAGCGCAATGGCAAAGACATTCCCGTCATGATCCGGCTCCAGGAAGTGGAACCCCCGGTAATAGTGCACCACCGGGATGCTAAGCATGATGTCCTCCGAGAAGGAAACCTGCTGCGTGGCCGGGTCAACGATGGGGCTCGGCGGCATTTCCGACTCCAGGAAAACCCCGACCCCCGGGATGGAGGCCCGCAGGGCGGGATTCTCCACGGGGAAGAACTCGCATTCGTTGTCCGGCGGGAAGTAGCCACCGGCCGAGCCCGAGTCGGCGGCATTCAGGTCATCATGCCCGACGCTGCAGGTGAGATACTGCTCACTGTCATCATCATCATCATCGTCGTCGTCGTGGTCGTCGTGGTCGTCGTCATCGCCGTCGTCATCAGCATCGCCATCGGTATCATCGACAGCCTGCTGTTTGCCACCATCGGCACCGGAGCTGGCCCGGGCCTCGACATCAAAGTCGGTGGTGTCCTCGTCGGAGTACTCGACCAGCACCAGCGGCGGGAGATCATCATCCCCCACCGTCGGCGACATGGGAGGGACATCGCCATCCGCCAGGCTGGCCACCGCCTCAGTGGGCGACACACTGGCTGTGGCCGGCTGCTGGGGCTGGGCATCGCCATGGTGCCCGGCAGCCGCCTCGTCATCCTCCTCCGCCGGCTCGGCCTCCTCCTCCTCCTCCGAGACACTGGCCCCGGCCTGGGGCCAGCACTCGGCCGCCGCCAAAAGACGCTGGCTGATCTGGTGGTGATAGTAGTACGTGTCATCGGCGTCGGTGTCACTGTCAGAGGCACAGTGCATGGATGAGTCGTCCTCCTCCGGCAGCGAGACAGAGCGCCGGCCGCCGGCAGCCGCCATCTCCTCGCGTCGACGAACTCGGAAGTCCGATGCGGCCTTGTCCGCCTCGAGCAGGGCACTCTCGAATGCCTCCTCGCCCTCGATGTCGTCGTACATGCGGGAATCCAGCAGGTAGCAATCGTCATTGAAGCAATTCCGGAAGCGATACCGCGCAAAGTAGCGCACTCCGCTGATGGCCCGCGGATCCGAATGCGGGCCCTCCTCGTCGAGGGTCCCGGCTCCGGCGGCATACGGGCTGAAGGCCGCGAAGGCGGTGGCCGTGCTGAAGAGCGGCCGCCCGGCGCCGACCGGCCGAACCGACACCACATCCACCTCCTCGCCGGATCCAGCATCCCCCTCATCGCCAGCCTCCGAGCCATCACTCAGAGCACCGGAAGACAAGGCCGATGCCGAGCCAGGATGGGGCCCAGCCGGGTCGACATCAATCCCGAGGAAGCGCACACGGCGCCCGGTACGGGGACGCCCGTCCACCACGGCCGGCAACTGGCCAGCCGCCTGCAGACGGCGGAATTCCGCGTCACACTGTGCCGCATAGTCCAGCTGCTCATTACGCCGGCGTTCGATGTCCATATGTGACCGGGGCTGCGGATGCGAGGGGGCCGGCCACCAGGCCACACTGGCCGGACCGCACCGCGGGGCCAGGGACCCGCAATTGTCGCAACCCAGGGTGTCCGCCTCGGCCGGGGGCACGCCAATTACCCCCTCGACAGCGGTGCCCGGAGTGGCCAGCCCACTGGAAACCTCCACGACGGCCGGCAGATTGGCAAATGCCCGTGGAGCCGCCTGCCCGCAAACGCAAACCCCAAAGCAGGGGTTGCAAAGCTGCCGCGCACGCGCTTCCGGGTGGTGGAAGGGCCGCCGCAGCGGGGTGGCATACTCGGAGGCCGGCTCGACCCCGGCACCGGGGAAGGAATGCCGCCCACCATGGTGGTGATGGTGGAAGAAGGCATCGGCCGGGTCGTCACCAGGCTGCCCCGGGATCGGAACCCACTCGCTCTCACTGAAGAACTCCGTGTAGGAGTACCGCGGGGAGGCGAGATCCCGGCCACGATGGTCCTCGCCGCCACAATGGCTGCACACGAAGCGGCCCTCCTTGCGCAGGGTGCGCAGGTGATTGAGCTTGCGCTCGGCCGCCGGATTGCCGACCACCATGTGATGGGCATTGGCGTAGTTGTGGGAGTTGGCAATGGCATAGGCCACTGCCGCCGAGGGGGGAGTAGTCCCGGGCTGGGGCCAGGGGATGATGCCCCGGCTGGCGGACCCGGCACCGGGGGCCACCTCGGCATGCTGTGCCGCCAGGATGCGCTGTGTTTCGCGGATGCGTCGAGCCAGGCCGGAGCGCGTGGCCGTGGCCGGCAGGCTGAATGGCCGCAGGGGGGTCAAATGCTGGGAAGAGGGGGCCAGCGAGCCGTCAGTGTTCACGGAGCTGGCTTCAGTCAGGCCGGCGGGGGGGATTTCCGTGCCGGCGCCATCCTCGCAGGTGGTCTGTGAAAAGGGCGTTGGCGTGCATTTACGCCGGAGACCGGAGGGAGGGGGGGGGGGGGGTGTCCAAGCGTATGGGGACATGGGGTCAGGAAAAGGGGGATCCCAAGAAGGAATGCAGGCAAGAAGAAAGGAGAAAGAATGGCCAGGAGCACGGACGGAATCGAAGGCCGAGAGCGAAGTTTCGGACTCAGTCGGTGTCAGGATCCGCGAGGGTGGCTCGTGGCGCGTTTGCAGCGAGGCACTCAGGCTGCGCACGGTCAGCTGCCGCTGGAGCTTTTCACGGGCCAGAATCATCTCCGGCTGGCCGACTGGACGCGATGGGGGGATGGGGGGATGGGAGGTGGGGGGACATCGGCAAGGAGGGACATGATACACTCGGTGGGTTAGTCCTGCCAGCCGGAGCAGTGTGCCCAGCCAGGACGCAGGAAAGGGAGGGAGAGGGAGGGGGGGGAGAGAGAGAGAGAGAGAGAGAGAGAGAGAGAGAGAGAAAGGCGGACAGAGCACGCACCCTTCAGGTAGTTATGCTCGATAAGCATGTCACGCGAGGGGCGCAGACGCAGCTTCCTGTCGAGGGAATTCAGGATGTCCCTCTGACCGGCCAGCTCGGCCAGCTTCTTCGGACAGGTGGGCCGGCTGCTGCTGGGGATGCTTCCTCGGCGCGAGGGTGCCTGTGGATCGGCGTCGATATCTGTATCCGGGGGGGGGGGGGGGGGGAGGGGCAGCAAACAGAGGAAGAGTCAGCATGCGAAATGACCAGCGGGGGATTCCCCTCCATGTGACCAACAAAGAGATCGATCCGGAGAGAGGGACGCACCGTTGAGCATGTTCAGCTCGACGAGGCGCGACCGGGGGAGCCGGTGCTCCAGTGCCCACATCAGCGCGCGCTCGGTTTGGGAGCGCTCCAGCGCGGAGAGAGTAGCTCGCACGGCCGGCGCAACATCGGTGGCCGCTGCATTCCGGGAGAAGAGGGAGGCAGTCATCGAGAGAGGGAGAGAGGGAGAGAGAGAGAGAGGGGGGGGGGCAGGGGGGAACGGGGCCCTGGTGGTGTCAGAGAGGCAGAGGAGAGGGGACGGGCAGCGCGCTAGCCCATGGCCAGGCGAACATGCAAGCGAAAGGGCAGAGAGAAAGCGGAAGGCGGCGGCGAGGCACAGGTACACGAAGGAGGGGCAAGGGAAGGTGGTGCGCACCGCGAGTCAGGAGGTTCCGCCGGACCAGGTCGTCGACTGTCGGCCTATGGGCCAACAGGCTATCAAGCCGGGCCTGGCGCTCGGAGATGATTGGCAGGTCCACGCCAATGCTGTGGCTGACAACCGGCGCCAGCAGCAGGTCCGGCGCAGGGATGTCATCATCATCATCATCATCCGAGCAGGAGGAGGAGCTGGCCTCAACCAGCGGCGGGAGATCTGTCATGGAGGAACTGAGATCCGACTCGGAGAGGAAGTCGGCCGAGGAGGGAGGTGAAGCAGGCGCCGCCGGCGACGGGCCGCTGACGAGCCCGCCGGCCGGATCCAGTGGACAAGGCACAGGGGACATACTATAGGCTTCAGGAGGGGTGATGGCGGGTCAGGGACGGTGCCATTGGGCGGGGGGAGGAGTGGGGAGGGGGGGGGGAGGAGTGGGGAGCGGAGGCGGAAGGGATGCGAGGTGGCACTCACTTGGCGGTAAGGAAACGGGAAAAAAGGGCTTGCCAGAAACCCGGTGAAGAGATCCCCTTCGCAGAGGGGACCTCGCGCCTGGGTAGGTCTTTTTTTCTCCGGGAAGGTCGGGTGTGCTTGCGCGTGTGCTTGCGCGTGAGTCCTTGTGGAGGATACATGAGCACACACACACACACAGACACACACACACACACACACACGCGCGCGCGCGCGCGCGCGCGCGCATTCGTCGGGGCCCCGAAACAGACACGCCCATCTGCGGGCTCAGACGCCCACACACCCACACGCTCAGCAGAGCCGACATCTGCGCCTGCATTCAACATGCAAACAGGCCTATTCGGTTGGTAAATGGCTCGGGGATGTGTGGAGCCCTGCCGATGGACTGCGGGGGGGGGGGGAGGCGAGAGAAGGAGACGGGAAG